GATGTAACGGAAAAGTGGAGATTTCCACAGAGGAAAATGGAAGGGGTGAAAGCCAGAAGGGCTTAATTACATTACATCGTTGTGAAATTTTCCTTGGCGAGGTGGTTATTTACTCAAGAATGGGTGCATATTTTCTTTTGACACCCGTCGCGCGTTTGTTTTGTGTCGACGAAAAATCCTTAGTTGCATGTAGGTAACACAAACCATGAACTCGTCGATGAAGGGGGTACTCCGATCTAAAAATGGCCCAAATTTTTTTTTCTTTTTCTTTTAGTCTGCTAAAGAAGGTAGTGTATCCACCATGTAATTATCATGATCATGCAAACTGGAGAAAATTCGATAAGAGGGATGATCCCTTGTGAAGTGCTGCTTTTGCACATCGCACTTTTTCACTTACTTTTACTAATATTGCTTTCCCCAAAAAAAACCAGTTTTCTGCAAGTTTTTTCATCTCTTGGCAACCGTTCCTCAGGCTCTAATTGAGCTAGAGACCTGCGATTTTTTTTTTTAAAATGACCGATCATGTATGCTCTGTTATCTGATAAAGCCGAAATTTTTATTTTCTTCATTGATCATTTAATATTTTAACAAAAACCCCAAAAATATTTGGGAAAAATGCATGTCTTTAAAAAAAAATTAAGAAAAAAACTTTCAGTCAAAAATTTATTCATCTGGTTCTGTCAGATAATAACCAGAGCATTTCTTGATACTTTAAAACGAATCGTAGATCTCTAGCTCCTTTTCAGACCGAGAAATGGTTGCCGCAAGATGCCTCTTCAAATTCACTTGATCGTGTATTAAGGGGCCTCGTTCAACGAGCCCGTTTAACGAAAATTTGGGGAATTCGTGATTTTACATGTACCTATCTAAAGCATAAGTCTCAAGTTGATAGGACTTGAAGGGGGGGGGGGAGTTGTCGAGACCGGAGTACCCGGAAATAATGTATGAAAATAAGTTGTCAAGAGAAATATAGCAACGTTGCAGTACAATTAGGTATTTCTGACTTTCAACCTTCCAATTACTGTGAGCAACACACACTAAATTCTAGCATCCGTTTTATCAATCTGTATAGAGAAACTGAAAAATAAACTGGCTCATTTATGACTTGATGAGCTTAGAGGACAAGGTGTATAAGTGCAGTTTTTGCCATTTCGAGAAATACGTGTTTTGAAGTTTAGAAATTACATGGATTCTTATGGCGGAAAGAAAGTTCAAACTGATTTTTTTATGCTTAAAAAGTGGAATTTGGGAGCGAAGTTTTCACAGAATATGCATTAAGACAAGTGAGATTGCATTTAGCGAAAGGGAACAAGCGCGATTACAATGTCTTCAGAGTCGTGCATCTTTATCTTTATCTAAAACAATTTCCACAGTAAGAAATATTTTTCGTTTTTCCACCAAAAAACTGTCAATTTTAAAGGAAAGTAAGTGTGTAAATTTGAATACATATGCATACATTTAGTATTTTCTAAAGAAATGAAGAAGTTGGACGATTTTAAAAACACTGTAATCTCGCTGGCTCCCTTGTGCTAAATGCAATTCAGTTCTACTTGAAATCATTAATATCTTAATTTTTTTCAGAAACTGCACCTATGCTCCTTATCCTCCAAGCCCCTCAATTGTGAGCCTTAAATTTCCTCTCAAATTTATTGAATGTCCAAGATAATTTTTTGCCTGCACCGATTCGCTTCGTGGACTGAGGCTTATTATTTTAACCAGAACGCTATCCCCCACGGTAAAATAGAAATCATTAAGTTAAAGACGCTGCCGAAATAGGGAGTATTCCGGATATTTTTATGAGGTGCTCCGGCAGTTTATCGTTGAAGTTTTCATGGTTATTCAATCTCGGATAAGTGCACAAAAGGAAACTGCATTCGGTTGGCATGATTGCAAATACTTGGGAAAACTGTAACTGAACCAAAACTTGAAACTCAATTATCTCGGGACAAGAGCCCTTGCCTAAACGCCTTTATCCCGGAAAGGTCTTCAATTTTGATTTTCGAGCAGCTAACGCAGGATATCCAGATAGTAGTGGGAGCTTTCCCGGAAACGCTGTTAATCTGCTTTTCCAGGAAGCTTTGATAGACAAACTCACACAATACACATGCGCACGTATACATTGTACAAAGTAATTACGCTCACTCTAAAGTACCATCAGGAAAGTTTGCGTCCTTCAACTTTCCGGAGAAATTTTGGTTCCAGTAACGTCGTTGCACCAAAACCTTAAGGGGGGGGGGTGACCTAACATGACCCCTAACATGATACATAAGTAAAGAAATGAATAAATAAATAGCTTGATGAGGGCACATGACGTTAACTTAATTAAAGTTAGTTTACTAACTGTTAATTCTAGTAACGTGAGTTAAATAAGTAAATATTAAAAAAATGTATGTAATTAGAATACCCAGTATGATTGCACTAAAATCAAGTTTTCAGGAATATGATTAATTTTTCTCATTTTTTATCCAGGCCCTCCGAAACAAAGGGAGAAGGTGCCCTCCCCCCGTCCCCCGTCCCCCAGTGACGCCACTGTTTGGATCTCGTTAAGTTCTCTTCTTTTAAGGGACAGAATGTTTTCAAAATATCCTTGGATTTTTCTTCGCCTAACGCAAGACGAGACTAGTTCCTTTCCACAGAGAACTTGGTCTAAATTCGAGTGGCCCAAAATTGGCAGCTGAGCCTGAAAGATATTAACGAAGCTGGGGGACTGAAACATTATTTTAGCGAAAGCTCCTCGAGTATAATCACGAGCTAGTTGACTCGGTGCCATTAGGAGTCGATTTTTGCATTTTTATGGAACTCCTTTTATTGAAATTACAGAGGAGCTCCCCCAAACGCTCATGCGAGGCATTTACTATTTCCGACCCCGGAGGTGGTGGGTGGGGAGGGGCTGGAGCCAAAGAACATATTCTTACTCAACGATGGATGATGAATGTCAGTGCGCTCCTCCAAAAGTTTAGACTCTCGTTGCGCCCCCTTCTAGATCTGGCTTGGTGTTGCCAGATTTTCGAACAAAAATCCACAATAGATTTTCTCTGTTTTAACACATCGAGAAATTCTCGGTAACAATCGAAGTTTTGTTTCTTTGTTTTTTTTTTCCTGAACTGTAAGTTACAATACAATAAGAGCTCAAACCTTGAGCAAAAGGGTTTCAGGAAAGTGAGTTTGGTTGAAATTAAACTTTGGCTTTTAAGATCCAGAATTACCTAGCTGGAGGTCAACCGACTTCCAGAGTCTCAGGACAGAACTATAGTAATTTAATCAGAAGCGCCATTTCAGCCGCATCTGGGGNGGGGGGGGGGGGGTGTAAGCAGGAGGCAAAATTTGCGCACTATGGTAAAATCGTCATGAATCCTCGAAAAATATCCTAAAAATCCCAAAGTTGCGCCGAAAAGGTAAAAAATAAAATTGGAATAGGTGCCCTTGAATTTAATGGAGGACGTATTGTGGATTCATTTTTATGACTCCAGTTTCATCCGTCTTCCCTCCTCTCTCTTTTTTGTCTGTTAGTCCTCAGTCGACAGAGGAGAGCTTTTAAATCGCACAAAAATAAAATGAATTAATATAATTTAAACACGTGGTAATGGTTCTATAAAATCATTGATAGTTTTAAATTCCTAAAATTATGTTCTGAAGGATCCTTAGGATGAATGTGAATCTTGTGACTCGAAACTAGGGGATCTGCTGAAGGAAAATCGTGAGATTTTGATGGCTAAATGACAACATCCCTAAGTCGACAATTGTTCACGTTTTGTTCGACTCATACATAATTCAGTCTTCTTTTGAGTCGGATTGTATACGCGCTTCCAAGGCTCTGGCATTAGACCATTTTCCCTAGGCTACATAATATATATATAGGCTATATATATAGAGCCGTGTAAGCTATTACCCTGATGCTCTTTTCAAGTGCTCCATGATTGTCGTGCAGCTATACCCGTCGGAAGCGCTAGATTTTTATTTTCCGAAAATAAATTGATAAAGCACTGAAATTTCACTTAAAGAACTCTAGACAATCAATCAGTTTTTCCTACTGTAGAATCGTCTTTATATGATCACATAAGGTGATGTTACAGCAATGAAACAATTCATCCAAACGTCAAGTTTCTACTTCCAAAATTAACGGAAAGAATGCCTTCCTTCGAAAGTAAGCCGGGTTTGATCCTCATCTACCGCCTCGATATTTATTAACTAACGGCTATGAAATAAAGCATGGTTTGAGGCATAGTGATATGAGTATGGTAATCACCAATGGATTCTATGGTAGAAATTACCGTAACTTAATGAATTCACCAAAAATATGGCAAATGCCATCAGATGTCCGGTCATCCTTACCTTATTACAGTATCAATGTATCGAAAATCAAATAGACTCGCATGATAGAATTTACCATACCTCTGGTAAAATTTGCCGTACATTTTTGCCTAGTGGACGCTCACATTCAAAGTGTTGACATTCAAAACCTAGTGAGTGCCACCAGATGTTGTCACGATTGTGCATAGTGTTCCCAGGAAAAAAGATTTTAAACGCCCTCAAATTAGAATTTTTCCTATGGATTTTGTCCACATGAGCCCGGAAAGCTTATAGCTGTACGGAGAACGGTGCTCAAGTGGAAATGGACAGAGGCGGATCCAGCAATTTGGCAACACCGGATTCTCTCCATTTAAATCTATGTGAAATAATCGATTCTTGTCGGAGCACCTGGCCCTTCCATGAATCGATACATTTCTATTGGTTTATAAATGGAGAAAAACAATGCTGCTAATTTTCTGTATCCGCCAATGAAATGGAGACGCGGGCTTGCGTCAGAGGAGCGACTAAATGAGTACTGAACCTCAGCAAATTTTTATCAGCTCTGATAAATTGTAACAAATTTGCTGGAAATCCCATTGAATTTCTTTGAATCTTTAATTTTTGAAGGACCTTTTCTACTTTTACCAAATATTTCGCCCTTTTGCCATTGTTTGAACCCCATTGATTTCTATGTATTTGTTTGGTTAAAGGAAGACATGACGAGTTCTCTCTGGTTTCTGGTGGCATCGTTTTTCCTGTGCTTCGCAAATGCAAAAATAGGTGAGTACCTCTACAACCTTGAACAAACAACCGCCCGAGAATGATTGGTGCATGCCGGGGTCCGGTCGGATTTAAAGCTTTTCATTTTTCAAAATTTTGCAAATTCAACTCATCGTTTTCCGCGTTCGGAAAACCCACTCACCGTTCATCATTACAACCGATGAGTAACTGATTCCAGTATGTTGCAGAATTTTCCCACGAACGTCGTATCAGAGAACGAAGAGATTTATTGAGGAACGCAACTCTAACTGTTCGTCTAATAATGTGTTGGTTTTAAATAGTAGATTAACTTCTTAGCTTGTCCAGTCCTATATTTTATAGTCAATTAAATCCGCTGACTTTTAAAATAGCGTGTAAATACATATTGCCTAGCTCGCATATCTAAAAGTCTCTTATTAGGGGTATAATTTGTCATTTCAAGTAGCCATTAGCCAGTTCGAAATCATGCGATAGGATCTTGCATCCAGTTAGGAATAGCAGCCAAGCATCGCGAATATCTTTCAATTTCGAGCCGAATCAAGTCATTGTGGACCATGAATTTTATCGCGATCACTCGGACAATTAAATGCTCTCCTCTTGCCTATTGTTGCCAGACGGCGCAAGTATCAATTGGATTGCAGTTTGCAAAAAGGAACCACTAGCATCGCAATGATGCTAAGATTGTGCAACTTCATCCTTTGCAATAAAATTGCGGAAATCGTGAAAAACTATGAAATCTAGATGGTAATTTTTGTCTTAAATTCACAGTTTTTAGCGAGTAAAATAGAAACTATTAATGGATAATCGGGTTTTTCCTCCAAGACAAAAGAAGTTGCACAATCTTAGCAACATTGCAATGCTAGTGGTTCCTCTTTGCAAAATGCAATCCAATTCATTTCGCCATCATAGCATAGCTACCAAAGTAAGGTTTTCACTCCAGAATTGGTGACGTTGCACCATTTTTTCCTACGCTTACGGGTATAGTGCGACGGAAAAGAATGCGTATTTGAGAAAATGCGACTTTCAAGGCAAACATGTCCGCTTGTTGCCTTGTTTTTTTGAAAAAAATAAATCCATCATTTTTTTTTCACCTAGAAGGGCTTTGCACGTTACGTCATGTATTCAGTCAATTTGACTTTCTTAAATAAGTACTGTCCTGGTAAAAATTGGCGATAGGAGCTGCGTTCCAAAATACCACAGGAGTTCTTATAGCCGACTGAAGAAGGCGATAGATAATCATAAAGCTGGCTGTAGAAAGTGGAAAAAATTATACGACCAGGCTACACGAAGCGATAAAAAATTATACAGCCGGGCTTTACACTTTATCGCATGGCTGTTGCTTTTTTGCCATCGGCTGTAAAAGGCTATAAGAAATTGTGTAGAAATTCGAGTGCTTTGTAAATCCTTAAGTTTGTACGGAATCACTTTAATATTTACAAAACGCACATTATATTTTTCTTTACTACATATTTTTTTTCATCAATTAAAATGAGAATAATCCATACAGAGTGTGCAAACATTTCAAAGTCATGAGTTGAAAAACGCTGACTCCACGAGATTAAATATTAGAGCCTACCACAAAGCAGAGTGGCGGCGCACTGGCGCCTACAAACCTAACAGGGATACTTCACGCATTGCGCAATGCGTGAAGTATCCCTGTTAGGTTTGTAGGCGCCAATGCGCCTTTCGTGCTGGCTGCCCGCCCGCTGCGCCGCGCCGCGGCGTACCACGGCGCTTGAAGCAACTATTTCACACCAGAGGTATTGCACAGTATCATACGAAATTGAAGGCGCTCCAATATACTAGGAATGGCAGGCATCCTTCAAAAGAACGGAGCTTTCCTCGCAAAATAAATCAAGATACTACGGCCCAAAAAGAGAGCGGTAGTCCAAAAACTCAATATGTCCTAGCATCCGTAATTAGTAACGTTTTATCTTTTTACCGCCTTTTTATCTTTTCTCTACTTTTTATCGCCAGGCTGTTGCTTAATCGCCATCGGCTTTAAAAGGCTCTTAGAAATTTTGTTGCCGGCTGTAGGAGCTATTGGAGCTCTTACAGCCGACTGTAGGTCTATGGTATTTTGGAACACAGATTCTACTGCCAATTTTTACCAGGAGGGTTGTTTCTAGATTTTATTCACGCGTTTACATACCTAAAAATGGCAAGTGGCGTATGTTCATAATGTACTTATTTTTTTTGTACTGTCCATTTTTATTTTCGTACTCATTCCTTGTCTGGCCCTCATTTGTATCAAAAAGACGAACATACATTTCATCCTACTCCGTTTTTTTGATATGCCTTGGGAGTGACATCTGAGAGGAGGTTTGGAATGTGGAAGAGGAATTTGATCAGAAAAGGGATTCTGGCACGATGGACATACTTAAAATATAATTTTAACGTTCCAGGCTCAATTGGCGCATACGAAGCTTAGCGAATTAAGTCAACTTTGAATGCGTTGTTATCCACTTTATACCTTTTAGTGGCAACCTATTTACCCTCAGAAGCCTCCCGGGAAAAAATTTAAAATTATTCCCAGCGTGTTAAATTTGCTCTGCAAAATTTAAAAGATTCTGCTGCTTGCGTCGGTATGCCTACTTGGGGAGAATATTCTCGGACCAATCCACAACAATGCTTTTTAATTCCTTTTAATTTATTCTTTACTCGACTTAATTGCATTTGAGAAGAACATGCACCTTGCACGAGTGGAATCAGATACACAAAGAATAAAAACCCCTCCGAACGAGTGAGGTCCACCGGAGATATCTTGGCAAAAATCCAGCATTAAACAGACAATACAACCTTAAAAAAATGAAAATCTCAGTTTGAGGACGAGCGCTGTAGGCAATGCCTACTAATTTTATATGGTACGGGTTGAATACCTCTTTTTGCTTTTCATCTTTCCTCTTACTCTGTGTGATTCAATTAAGCTCGAATGTACACACTTGTAGTTTCATACACTGGCCTTTACGCTTCATGCTTCTGAATCACGTAATTATTCTGCGAACAAAATCCACCCCTTCCCACCCTGTTGAAAGTAGACCCCCTCGTGTTTTGTATTCTTATTCATGCATGAATGCCAAATCAGGCAACAGTACTATGTATTAGGCTATTAGACGCTCATATCTTCGCAGAATTTTATTTTTGTCCCGGTCATTTGCGCAAAAAATAGACCCAGGACGAGACTCAAATAGTGAGTGCCAAGAGACCCTGGAATCTCTTCCCGAGAAGTTTTTTTAAAAAAAAGGATGCTTCACGCGCCGAATTAGTTTTTCAATCTGGGTTTGCCGATACAGAGTTGCAAATTTTAAATTTTAAGAGTATAAATGGAAAGTTTTTAAATGTTACACATTATAAATTGGGCAACAATGTGTTACGAAAATCAGCTCTAAACTTGAGCTAAAACTTTTACTGGGAGTTTGTTTTCTCGCAAGGGCTCAGTTCAACTACAGGTCCATAAAATTCCATGGCCCACATAGAAAGAAGGTCAACAAAGGTACTTTTTTGGGGGGCTCTTTATTTGAATTTTGGTATAGGGGTGTCATTTCAGCGATTTCCTACGGGGCGGTAAAAAAAAAAAAAAAAAAACAAGAGAGTGGACTGATTGAGAGACTGAGAGATAAAACTGAAAATTTTTCAAATCCCCCTAAAACTGATCTAAATTCGTTAATTAAGACCCGAAAAATGTTTAAGTTATGATGCAGAAGGAGGGGTAATTGCCCCCTTGCCTTCTACAAATGACGACCCTGTTTCCCCAAACAGAAAAAGCGAGGGGGGAATATGGTGAAAATGTGCGGCGGGTAGGATGAGGATGGGGGTACCCGCGAAAATGTGAGTCATCAGCCTCTCTAATAGTTTAAGGAAGCAGCCCGAAGGCGAAGCTAAGCCAAGAATGACCAAAAGTGGGTTTAATCAAATTAAGCCGCCATTCGGCAAAACGTTGGCTGCTTCGGGCCGGAGCAATGGCGCATGGCCTGGTATTGTCAAATCGCGGAGGGCCCCTCGAAGCCGGTCGTTTGCGCGGGGAAATCGGCAGATTTTTGCGGAGGGCAACGCCGATTACGACTGGCGGAGCAATAAACACGGAGCTAATGTAATTACAGCCCCGCGCAAGAGCCACCGTTTGCTCCGGACGAATGCAAATCTCGGCGGCGTTGCTGCGCTACGGAAAAAACCCTCCCAACGATTTCGGTACCAGTCGATCCGCAATCTCATACTCGTATCTCGTTTGCGGTGTCTGAAAATTTCCGGCTCTATGTTATTTTTCTAAAGGAGAAAAAATTGACATCATTCCTTGAATTTTTTTGGAGAATTTTCTTCGCACAGAGAAGAAGAATCGCGGGAGTTTTAAAGAATTGCCGTTGAGTAGTTTTCCGTTTAAAAAATGAAACATGACAGGAAGTCTGCGACGCACAGTGGATCGAGTCAATAGGAGAGGTCGGACAAAATTTAGAAACTTTACAAGCTTCTAACTTCGCTCATACAAAACTTTGAGGTTCTAAAAGTGGCTCCATTGGTTTCCTCGTGAAATCTTCTTGCAAAAGCACCCCTTGAATTTTAAAATGTGACAAAATAAACGTAAAATTTGCAATTAGTCAAAAATATCATGTCCGACCTCTATAATTGACTCGATCCACTTTGCGACGTCGCCAACCGAGTTATGTGTGATTTCCGACTTACACTGTGGTAGTGTTGCCGTTCGGTATAGAGTAGAGTGCCTAAATGGGGAGAATAGATCGTATTCGATGTATCAAACTGGTGAGATTGTATCGATATCGATTGGTTCAACGTGTAATCATAGCCTCAAAAGTCAATCGAGTTATCTAAGGCAACAGGTTTTTTGTGATTGATTTTTTATTCTTATGAGTACAAAATGACTATAAAGGTACAATTATTAAGAATTTTCTCATTTCCAGCTTATCCAGCTTAAAACCTTAAAATTTTTGTTTGAAGTTATGTTCTATTGTTTTAAACCGAACTGTTTAATCCCACCGTCGGTGATGAGAAAATGTGTAACTCCGCAC